CTGTGTTCACAGAGTGGCCAGTCATGGGACCATAAGCAACACCTGCCCCTTTAGTGTCTTTCATACCATTACCATCAGCACCAGAAACTCCAGGTGCCCCAAGCTTAAAGTAAAAGTCCTAAAGTACATAAACTTCTCCCATGCAATGTGCTGGGTCCAGAACACGCTGTTAAATATCAGAGTTCCTATGGTTATGACTGACAAATGACAATAATAGCCCCAAAATACATATTTTTGATACTATTTAGCGAAGATTATCACAAAGACACAGACAGTATTTGACACATTCTTATTCTATAACGTTTTAAAAATATTTTCTCTTGACAGATAAAATGTGCACTTTTTCTGTAAAACAATATTTTGAACATACTGTTAAATATCAGAGTTCCTGTGATTATGACTAAAAAATTAAATGACAGTAGTCCCCAAACTATGCATTTTTATACTAGTTAGCCAATAAAAAAAAAAAAACACAGGACACAACACGATACTCTTATAAAATGTTAAAAAAACATTCTCTTAAAACGACACAGAAAAAATGTACACTTTCTCTAGAAAACAAAATATTGAAAAATATATATACAGTGATAATATCTAGAGAAAAAAAACACTATATCACATAGTTAACATGTTTGTGGTGAGACCACGTGACATTGTCTTATCATTTTGCAAAAATCCAAATACATTATGAACTATAGTCACCATGTTGAACAATAAATCTCTTGAACCTGTTTCTCCTATTTGACTATAATTATGTATTATTTGACAGACATTTTTCCAACCCTCCATTTCTTCTAAATACCTTGGCATCTGATAGTCACCATTTTACTCTACTCTCTACATCAATGGGATTAAGTTTTTTGGAATCCATGTGTAGGTGAAATCATGAGATACTAATCTTTCTGTGCCTGGCCTATCCGAACTAATATAATGTCCTCCAGCTGAATCCATGTGATTTAAAATAATATAGTCTTTTTTCTTTTTTTTTTAGGCCAGGTGTGGTAGCTCACACCTGTAATCTCAGCACTGTGGGAAGCCAGGGCAGGTGGATTGCTTGAGCCCAGGAGTTTGAGACCAGCCTGGTCAACATGGAAAAACCCCGTCTCTACTAAAAAAACAAAACAGCTGGGCATGGTAGTGCACGCCTGTAATCCCAGCTACTCCAGAGGCTGAGGCATGAGAATCCCTTGAGCCAGGGATGCAGAGTTTGCAGTGAACTGAGATCATGCCACTCCACTCCAGTCTAGGTAGCAGAGTGAGATTCAGTCTCGAGGAAAAAAAGGAATTTTCTTATTTAAATAATAAATAGTATTCCACTGTATATATCTACCACATAGTCTTCATTTACTCATTAGATGTTGAACTGTTTATTCTATATTGTGGCTATTGTGAAAAGTGCTGCAAACAACAGAACAGCAAATGTTTCTTCATTCTGATTTTATTTTTTTTGGATATATACCCTGTAGCGCAATTGCTTTTATGACATGGTAGTTTAAGTTTTTTGAGAAATCTCTATTTTGTTTTTCATAATCGCTGTCTTCATTTACATTTCAAACCAACAGTGTGCAACCCTTCCCTTTTCTTCACATCTTTACCAACACTTTTTCTTTTTAATAGCAGTCATTCTAACAGGAATGAGTTGACATCTCCTAGTTTTGTTTTTTCTCTTTTGTCTTGCCTTTTTGTGACAATTGACAGTGAGCATTTTAAAATATATCCATTGGCCATTATGTATGTATCTTTTTTGAAAAATACTTATTTCAGCTACTTATTTTTAATAGTTACTTATTTTTGTTTTATTGTCATTTGAATTTTTAT